ATTGAGTGTGAGAGAGCAAGAGCTTTTGGTTTTTTTGTCTATGTCGAAAGGGTCTTGAACTACAAAGTAGTATTTACCTTCCTGCTGACTGATCCCCTACCTCGGTGACAGATTTATGAATACAAATATATACATAAGCAGTGCCAGCATAAATGCCTGTTAAGCCAGTTGTAGCACCAGTTTTAAAGATTTGGAGCTACAGCAAATCCAATGGGATTTGAAAAGAACAAGTCACATGTAAATGATTCCCACTGCCAACATGGAAAGGTGTGCCTACCCTGATCCTAATACAAACATACGAGTCTGAATGAGCCATGGTCAGGTTTTGGTCTTTTGAAAGAAACATGCAGAGTAGATCAATACAGAAAGAGGAAGAGGAAAAAAATGTATTTAAACAATACAACCTTCCTCAGGACTGAAAACTATCTCATGTCACCTTCCTCCTCGCATTCAATCTCTATAGAAAAAAAGGTGAAATAGATCGCCCTCTTGTGGCAGAAGCAACATTGAACACTTAATAATTTCTACTGTACTTTCTCATGCAAGAAAACATGATACTACAATTGCATGGTATGTCTCTATTCTATGTCAGTGTCACTCCCCAACCTTTCATGATTGCTAAAAGTTTTAATTTATCAAATTAAGACTTTTAGCAATTAAAATGTCTAAACCTTTAATGGGCTGTCAAATGCTCTGGGCATGAAACAGGCTTCTAAATGCAGAAATAAACAGCCAGTTTAGTAAAAGTTTAACAAACTTTGGTAAAGTTTCAGCCTCCTCTCACTGTTCTTCCACATACCAGAAGCACAAGCATTTCTCTTTTTATCAGTCTGATCTTTGACACTAAACAATCCACAAGCGAAGGAGAGTTTGGCTTTCTAATGAATCTCCTTCTAATGAACAAAGAATGTAATATTTATGTCCTTGAAAGAAAAATGGCTTTAAAAAAAAGTCTCTTTCTATATTTCATTGCGGTTTTTGTCTGTCTTCCACAGCATATCACGATTTTCTGGTATAACAATGTCCAGCCAGACTGTTAGGGCAGCACAGGTCAAAACTGAAGCACAGAGGAATTATAAGCCTTTAGAGTCTGGAATAACCTGCCTCTCGATATTCATACTGCTGAGTCCAACCAGTCTGCTTGTCACTTTTTGGCTTGTAATTTGAGTCTCCTTGTGGAGTTGTTTTTAGGCTAATATTGTTGTGTTGTTTTGTAGTTTGATTTATGCCTTTAATCTGTTTATTTGTACTTATTTAATTGATTTGTACTCTCTCTACCATATTTTTAAAAACTCAGAAAAAGTGCTTTATGTTTTTAAATGTGTTAAAGAAATAATATTGACATTTATTTAAGCTGATATACGGTATTATTTTCTTTGCTGGTAGGTTATTAAGCGTGATAGTTGGTCTAAATATGCAAACTTTGATATACTTTGAGCTGAAAGTATAGTAATTGCTTGCATTTTCAAGCCTGTTGGATGCAGAACATAAAAAGATTTTTTAGACAGGCTTGACTATTTCAGCTGAAAAAAAATCTACCTAATCTTCTTTCCTGTATTTTTTAGGCTTTCTCCTTATAGCATTTGTGTCCTCAGGGTTCACCTGAAGCCTACTAGTCGAGGCCTCAATCTAACAGATTTTGTTTCTCACTGTCCTCTGCTGTAAAATTAGAATATCGTGAAAAAGTTAAATTTATTGTACGGATAATGGCTGACACATTTATAGAGAAACTGATTTCTTTTTCGATCAGGACTTTTCATCTGCTAAAGTCAGAAAAAGGCTGGTTCAGTCCCTGGTACTTGATTGACCAAAGAAGAAGATGAGAGAAACCAGACCTGCTATCAAAGCAACCTGGGCCTAAGTCACCTCAGCTGTACCAAAGAGCGATTATCTCCATGCCACGCTGCTTCGATGCAATAATTAATGCAAAAGGAGCTACTGGGTGTGTAGAAATGAACAAGGTTTCAGAAGCCTGGCATTTCTAATTCAAATGTAATATTTGTATTCTAAATTTACGAGGCACAGAGTTTTGGGTTTTCATTCTCTGTAAGCCATAATCATTAAAATGACAAGGAATAAGGGCTTCAAATATTTCACTCTATGTGTAATAAAGCTATATCATACATGAGACTCTCTTTCTGAAGTGAGTGACAAAAAATTATCTTTTTCCACAGTATGTAAATTTTTTAGATGTGCTTATACAAGGACTCAGAGTGATTCTTAAATTATTAGACGACACATAATTTCATTGATAAAGTTTTTATAAATTAACAATTATAAAAATATAAATAAAATAAAAAGTACATAAAAAATCCATATTTTATGTAAAAATAGCACTTGTTGAAATCCTTTTCTGTTTTTTCAGATTTATTTATTTTTGCTTTGATTTACAAAAAATAATGATTTAATGACTGTATTCATTGCTTTTTTTGTTAATTGTTTTTACTGAATCCTTTAAAGAAGGTTTTATAAGATCCATTATTGTTATTAAATACAACATTTCTGTTTTCAAAGAGAGAGCATATAACAATCTTCTCTCAAAAAATGCTTTATTTCAACAGATGGGATCCACAACATTTATAATATACATGTGATGTTCAGAATCCTGCTCCTAATGTCCATAATAATCTCAGCATCTCTGTGGTCTCATATTGTGTCTCTGTGTCATGGGTCAGGCGACGTTCTGTTTCATCAACTCACACATGAACAGATTTTCTTGCTTTTCTTTCTGCTTTTGCAGATTCCTCATCTGATATTTGCTTTGCTCTGTGACCACAAAGCTTGTTGTGTAGGAGGTGCTGATTTCTTTTTGTGTCTTCACACAAAAACACTTCTTTCAGTCTCTGATCTTGTTAGACATAACACATTGAGGCAAGATTACAGAGGGACTATGATAAGACTCGGTTCCTGGTACCTCCAAGTTTAATGTACCCGCCTGAGATGTTGCCTGCAGGCATGACAGACCCCCTCTCTGTTTCCCCTTGTGGTAGCCCTCACAAGCGGGGCTTTTTGGTCAGACTTTCCTTATGATTGCATGTTACTCTGCGTTTTGGCTGTGTAAGACCTCATCTCAGACTCAGGCCCTGGCCAGCTCCGGGTGCTCGCCCCCGTCTATCACCTCACAGCTCATGACAAGCACATGATCCGAAAACAGCCGTGGATCAGGTATTAGTTGAGATAAATGTGAGCAAAGAGTGACAAAAGAATAAAAGCAAGCTTGTTGCAGTGAGTTTTTTTTTTTGTGCTTAAATTACACTTTACTGTGTGAAAAAGGTCTTGGAGAGCCAGCAAAACATAGTCTCTCGGGTGTTGCTGACACAAGTGGTGCACAAATGTGTTATTTGCACCAGAATTGCTGTCTTTACAGAAATGCAGAACTTTGGACAATTACTGTTTATTTTTATCTACAAAGTTGTAAAATAAGCAGTAATAACCTTTATTCTCAGAAAAAGAAGCAGAGACAAGGGGGAGGAGTGTCCTGAAGCGGCTTTTAAATTACATAGACTTATCGGCTCTTTTAGATAAGGTGTGCTCTGCATCCATGCAACACGCACCCCTAAATGTTAAAGACAAACCGTAAACTCATTGAGCCTCCGAAGATTTCTCAAATCAGAAATCATGATTCTTCTACAAGGATTTGATAAGGTCTTTACATTTCTTTTTAAATCTCGCATTTAAAAGTCGTCTGTTATGTGGAAAAAACACAAGCTGCCAAACCAGATGGTGAGGTGCTTACTCTCCCAGATCTTACATTTTCCTCCATCTTTGACCTAAAATAAACCAATTAGCTCCTTGTTAATGACTACAGCTTATTTCAGTGTAGAATAATTACCATGCCAAATGTTGTGCAAACTAAGGCAAGAGTGTAATTTTTTTTGTAATTTGATTTTTTTTGCTTTGCCTGTCATTAGGAATGGGCCCTTTTGAGGTTTTCAAGGTGCAACTTTGAGTAGAAATGCCATAGTTCCACAGTACAGAAATATTGAATCTAAAACAAACTTCTGTTACAAAAGCTATTTTACTTTAGATACCCTCAAGCAGAGTTAAAAAAAATAAACACCTGGTAAATTCAATCCCTTTTTGACATTCCCCTCTTCCAGTGATACTCTGAATATGACTAATATTTATTGATAAATTATTGAGCTATCTGCATGGGTAGAGCCTCTAAGAGCTGTTTGACAACTATAGTTTTAAAACAGCTTCACTTTATTAAGAGTAATGCTAGAAGCTCCTTTATTTCCCAAACTCTGACTATTCATATATTATCATCAGAACCAGAAATAGTTCCAAACATGTGCATATTTCCATATGTGCAGTGAAGGAAAAGTTGTGCAGTCTTCTTTTAAGCATTTGGTTGGTAGTGCAAAGCAACAGGTGGGGAAGGGGCAGTGCTGTGTTACTCTATTCACCAAACAGCTGGAAAAAAAAAACTCTGGTTACTCCAGATCATTTTATGGTTCCTCATCTGAATGACTTTTTACCACCAGAAGACATTTCAACCGTAGCTTTTTAGCACCATGTCACACTTTGTTATTGGTGGCCAGCCCAGCCTTATCCTTCAACTTCTTGCTGTTTTCAGTGGTTGTACATGCATCTCACTGGAGTGCTGCTATGAAGATGGCACATTTACATTGTACTGAAACATATATTTTATCACCACTGATTCTTCTCTGAAGTTTGTTCCCTTCAATTTCCGTTTTTGTCAGCAAAATCTTAGGTTAGAGAAGAAATGGCTTCACTACATGTTTGCTCCTTGCTTTCTAGAAGAAGAAACCTCAGGGAGCTGCAGCCCCCACAGGGAATAACATTATTCTCCACATTTGTCTTTTCTTTTGAGCTTTTGTACTTCTCTCTCTCTCTCTTTTTTTTCTTTTCTGAAACTCTCAACAAGCAGCAGAGCAGGCCCGATGCTGAAGATGATATGTCAAAACTAGCTGCGGCATCTCCTCGTTCTTTTATCTCTCCGTCTTGATTTGTCTCTGCTGTTTTGTATTCCACAGAGACCTTTGAGGTTTTGATGAGGCAGGCGGAGAATCACACCAACGTCGTCCTCCAGGTGTCTTATCAGAAAATAGCTGATCCTGCTGCCGGCTCAGTGAGGGAACTCTTCACCGACGTCGGTCTCTTCCTGCTGGGTTCTGAGCTCAACGTTGATGAGTTTGTGCAGCGCTTCTTCGACGCTCTCCTCCCGCTGCTCTACAATCACTACATAAGCCCAGGTGTCGGTGACACGTCACCAGGCTATGCTGAGTGTGTGAGGTCACTCAACCGCGTTATCAAACCATTTGGTACAGTGCCGGATCTCTTCGCCGATCAGATTGCTACCTCTGGGGTCTCTGGGAAGCTGCTGCTTCAGGCTCTGCACCTCGGCATCGAGGTCATTAACACCACGGACCATTTACAGCTGAGTCGTGAATGTAGGCGGGCCCTGCTCAAGATGCTGTACTGTCCTCATTGTCAGGTGTGGTCACATTTCTGTGATGTAAGTCTATTGATCTGAGTCAATGAAGCATGATTACTGGCAGCGCTAATCTCTGAGCACTTCCCTCCACAGGGCATCACCCATTCCAAGCCCTGCATGGGCTACTGCCTCAACGTAATGCGGGGGTGCCTGGCGAGCATGGCAGAGATTGACGCCCACTGGAGGGAGTTTGTTCGCTCGCTGGAGAACCTGTCAGCAAGAATGCATGGAGCTCAGGATTTGGAGCAAGTGCTTCTGGGAGCACACAATATGCTTCATGATGCTATCGGGCACGCTCAGAAAAATGGACCTCGCCTCTCGGCACAGGTTTAGATCATGAGCAGAGATGTAAAATTGCTTTTGATGGTAGATTTGAATGTATCTTGGGGCTCTTTATACAAGGTGAACCCACTGTCACCCGCAGCTGTGATTGGATAAACAAAAAATAAAGTGCTTCACACTTGCCTGGGGCAATTTTTATTATGGAGCTGCTTGCTCCGTGTTAGAGAGGTATGGCGTCTTTAGGCCAAAGATAAATTCCTCATGTATGTACAAAACAGATAGTTTGAAGAAAGAAAGGGTAAATTGCCTTAAAAATATCTGTGCGGGTTGCTGCAAGGAGCTAAAAGTATATAAATCTACAGATACAGGAGGATTTGGTCTATATAGGGAGAAAACCACCGTTCCTTCAGGTGCCACCCATTTATCATCTTTTATAGGTGGTCTTTTTCCTTCACCTTTCCAGAAAAGATGGACAATAAAGGCCCCTTTTCAAATGTTTTTTTTTTCCCAAGCTCTATATCTTTTTGTAAACTGAATTCCACAGATGTTTGTTCCTGAGCTACACTGAGTCCCAGTGCACTAATTAAGATGCCGCATCTCCATCTAGTGGATGATATGAGTAACTGCTGTTTGGCAGACAGACATAAATTGAGATAAATTGGAGTTGAAAGCCTTAGCTTGCACTAATGGCTGCAATACAAATAGTTATCACTCAGCCATCTAAAACAAATCTCATAGTTGAGGCCCCAGTAATGTTTAACAAGGTTATCCAGTTCTCAAAATACACATTCTTCCCTCTGTGTTTCAAAATTACATTTGTGGCTGTTTTACTGTGCATTAGGTTCAGAAGCTGTGCAGCCCATCAATCAGGAGGCCAGCTCAGTCGGTCAGCATCCAGGACGCGAACAGCAGAGTCTCCATCCCGCTCAAAGCTCTGAACAGACGGTCGGACGATTCACTTTCTGTCATGAGAAAGTAGGTGGAAGTCAAAGGCATACACACACAAGATAATCAGATAGTTAGTTTTAACTAGATTTCAAGAAGTAAACACTATGCATGCATGCTTACTTGTGGCTACCTCTTTTTTTTTTAGGGACTTTCTGAAGAGCCTGCGTACCTTCAGCACATTCTACGGTGGCCTGGCGGATCAGATGTGTTTGCAGGGACTTTCTTCTGGTGATGGGGTGCCATGCTGGAACGGAACAAACATTGTGAAAAGGTTTGTTTCAAAAGATGTTAAAGAAAAACACAGATGCTTAATATAAGAGCAAATGAGGCAAACATCAGAAGATGCTTTTATTGCTGAGACTCAAATTTGTTTCGTTTTTCAGATGTTTCCTTTACGACTCTGTTTGGACAGATGTAAACATGCATGATTTATTCATTGATTAACCATAGAGGTGGTGTGATACAGAGTTACAGCCTTCCTTATGTCTTAATCTGAACACGTGAGCAACTATCTGGAAATGATAGTAAAAAAGTAAAATGAAGAGTAGTCAGAAACTTGGTTTTAAAGTTCACTGCATAAAATGACTTGTAAATAACGTGGCAAACTTTTTCCCAATCAGTTAATTAATTCATGTTGTTTTTCTTCTTTTACTTTGGTTTTTAGTTTTGTTTACTTGATTCAAACCGCCTTTCAGAAGGAAGAAGAGGAAAATGGGAAGACATGCTCAGCACAGTTTCTTGAGTTAATTATGGTTTACGTCCCATGTTAAAAGTTTGAATTTTTCACACTTTTTGTCTGTCCTAGTACAGATGCCTTTCCTCAAAGTTTATTTTGGCATCCATGACTTCCTGTTTCTCTGGAGGTCAGTAGAAATATGACTACTGGCTAAGACACCATTTCTCTTAGCCACTCTATAAAATGGGAAAAACAAGGGAATGAATGTCAGTAAATGACTACAATATGACAACTACAAAACTTCCTCACATTTACAGTGGATAAAAAACGGTCTACATGGAGGCTTGCCAGTATTTTTTTCTTAAATTCAAACTTAATAGTCTGGGTTTTCTAAGTGCTGCAATGCAATCCGTGGAAAACTTATCAGAACATATATACTGTATATATACTGGTTTAGGATTCATCTATCAGCCGTTGGTGCCCACAGACATGCATGTGGGAAATGAATAGCTGTGAACTGGAACAGGCATACTCGGGCCTCTTTTATGGTATCAGTCAGTGGCCTTGTCTTCATTACATCACAGCTCTCGATCTTTCTCATCCTGTCATCACTCAAGGACCCCTACACATATCCCCGGTCGGGGGTTGTTCTTTTTAACTGTCAGCTGCTCTTAAAAGAACAGAAATAGCAGGTGGACTGGTTAGTTTTTGTCAGCTTGGACTTCAACAGATTTTCTTTTGTAGAAGATGACAATTACATGGGGAATTACAGCAGGGAAAAGCTGGAAAAATATATTTTACAGCATTCTTAGCTGGATGTATTAGTATTGGGATGGTGCAAATAATTAAAAATGAAGATAGATGGTCAAAGTTCAGTTTCACTCCACCTCTGATCATTTAAATTTTGCATGTTTTACTGTGTCCCACCATAGGGCCATGACGTTTTCTAGGAAAGGAGTGAACATCTCAGATAATAGCATTGTTTATTATGTGCTGGAAGAAGCAGGACAACAGACTGCAGGCTCTTGCAGCAGCCTCTGGGAAATATTTATGGTCCTGGGAATCTTTTAGCTGCTTAAGCTTCCTTTCTTTATTTCCCATTAACAGTTATACTTATTGATAGGGATTCTTCCACCTCAGGTCCAGTCGGATTCATTTCGGTTCAGCCATTACTGAAGAAGTAGAAATTAAGAGACATTAAGAAACGGGCCTCTGAGGGGAGTATCGAGCCGAGAATCTCTGCAGCTTCTGGAGATCTGCAATCCTTTGCTGCTTTCTGCTTCCCCAGAACCATAGATGAGTTGCTGGGAGTCAACACTGGCTGAGACAAAAGCAATAAATAACCTCCTACCTACAGGTCGTAACCCAACACCCACTGAGAGAGGGGGGATAAAATTTGCTGTTGGATGGTGTCTGATTTACAGAAGCTTATTGAGGTCTCAGAGTCCCTAAGCGATTGCATCTGTGGATGTGTGTGTGTGTGAGTGTGAGAAACAGTGTACATGTATGCCTCTTATAGCATCGTTTTATGTGCTCTGGCACAAATTGTTTTATGGCCTAAAAGAAGCATAAAGTTGAACCAGAACTTTGCCTTTTTTAATAAAAAGAGTGAGCACAAAAAGCTCTCAAGAGCCTCAGATTTAAGGGAGATTTAATGCATGTTCTCTTTTGAGTCTTTGGGTAAATAAAGTAAAGAGATAAAGAACGATCAGATAAGATCACAAAGGAAGAACACGAGCAGCTTTTATCCCACTGTCTCTGAGAATGTTGATGGCTGGATTTTATTTCAGTATGAGAGAAAAAAACATTCTGTTCTTCTGCTGCTGCTTGGCTCGTTTCATTTACTCACTCATATTGGCAGAAAAACAGATTAGACAAGCAATCTTGTAATTAGTGTCATAGATTAGGACACAATTAATTTGATCTGAAGTAATTCCACACAGCTTTGGCATGCTGTACTGAAAAACAGAATGTATATATTGAATAGTCTCAGATATTTTGTGTTCTTTGTTCTTGAATATTAAAAGGTGTTTTTATATAGTCACTGTTTTCAGAGGAGTGACTTGGTGAGATTTACTGTGTGTAGCTATTCAATAGTCAATAATAATAACTGTTTTTGATAAAAATATGACCCAACATCTTTAGCTGGTTCTTATTTTGAGATGTTCTTGCTGCTTCTCTATCATTCTGTGACAATAACAGTAAAGTTAAGAAATATTGACAGAATGTTTTCTACATTGTGGTCACCAGGGGGCACCGTTAGCAATCTACAAACAGCATTTCATGTTGCATTCTGCATGTACTCTTGTCGTATTTTCTACTTGGAAATACAGTCTATCATTTTTTTTTTCTAAAAGAGAAGATTGTGCAAATTGTATACCTGCAGTTCACTGTCCAATATGAGTGTGCATCATGTAAAATGTTGTGGCATTTATATGCCACAACAGTTAACAAACCATACTTTGGACTTCTGAAGATTTTTAGCTCATGAAACCTGAGGAAACCCACATGAAACCTCTATTTATTAACTTGAATTTAGTGTTTAAATGCACATAATTTAGTACACCCATCCATCAGCTTGTATTGCTCCTTTTTGCCCAACCAGAACATACTCAACTCAGGTGCGACGCCATTTCTTTCTCTGAGACAAATCAAACTATAGACATTTAAAAACAGCACATTAGATTTCGAGGTATCTTGTCATCAAAGTGAAGACAGCAACAAATTGAATAAACTAAATATAACCAACATATTTCTACAATTCATCAGAACTGTTCTAGAACAAGCCTGTAGTTTATTTCTGTTGACAGGAGAAAAACACATAAATATGTTTGTGATTTTACACATAATAGCTCTAACTAAAACTTAATTAAACATACCACATTTCTGATTATCTGCAGATAAACAGCAGCTATCATTAGGGTTAAGATGAGGGTTTGTTGACTTTCCACCATCAGCTCAAATCCATCTCTTTCCTCATGCTCTTTAGGTTCTGGGCATGTTGTGTATTGTCATTGTCTCTTAGAGTATTTTCTGTTCAAAACAGTTGTGGGTCATGAAGTCAATTAGCAGAGATATAAAAACACTGTGAATCAGAAATGCTGTGAAAATTATATTTCTGCAGGTTATTTCTATGTGACAGCAGACAAGAAAGAAATTCACTGACATTACTTGAAAGAGTTCTTAATTATATTCTTATCAGGTTTTATTTGTAAACTGGTATGAATAAAGAATTTAAAGGTCTCAGGATTTATGTCATCGGACAGCTTGTCATGAAATCAATAAACACGTTGAAAAAAACTCCAGCTTCCTTTAAATAGCCAAAGTTGGAGACACTGTCCTTGTCTGGGTGGAAAGGTTAATACATTCCCACATACTTCCCCCATCTGTCACACAGCACAAATGGCAGGTTGCCATGAGCTACCTGCTTTTAAAAAGTACCCAAACCACAGCAGACGTCGGGGTGGGTAAAACTTGGGTAAAGAATCAAATTAGTCTGATTTTATTTGATAACCAGCTGAGAAACAACAGATTCTGATTTTTTAAAATAAAACTCAATAAGAAAAACCTAGTGTTTTTTTCACCCATTTTTTTTACCAGTTGGTGAAAACAGATTTATACTGTCGAAGTGATGCTAAAAAGCCTCAGCCGCGCACAAGAACCAGAGTGTGATGGTTTATTCATGATTACCTCCTCTGGCGTAGGCTCGCTTTAAGTCCTCCCCACCTGTGTTTTGTCTCACGGCTTCAAGCACCCACCATGTGTTTGGGAGCGTGTTTGTGCTTTCAACTTGTCTTTCTTAATTGAATACAATATTTTTATCATTAACACAATAGAAAGTCATGAGACCTCGCTGTTTGAGTTTAACATGTAGTGATGAGTCCAGTGAGGTGAATGCCAACAGCATGCTTCAAAAAGATGCCAGAGGACAGGGAGGCATATTTGAGCATGGCCTTTTGTTTAATAGGCCACCCTTTATGCTGTTGGAGCTGTCTGAGCTCTGACCTTTGACCTCTCCCTTGTCTTCGCTGCCCCGGCTAATCCTGTGGAGGTTAATCACATGGTAATGGGAGCCCGGGAGTTGAGGAGAAGGCCTCCTCTCAGTGTGCGGCCAGTTAGCTGAAGAAATGAATTGATGCTATCTATGGATGAATGTCTGTGGTGCTGTTTTCATTTGTGCTATTCATTTTATTCAGTTCTGCCCTTTTTCTCAAACATTTCAATGATTGCATCACTTTTCTATAATTCTTCATGGGTATCATTTCTATCTATCTATCTATCTATCTATCTATCTATCTATCTATCTATCTATCTATCTATCTATCTATCTATCTATCTATCTATCTATCTATCTATCTATCTATCTGTCTGTCTGTCTGTCTGTCTGTCTGTCTGTCTGTCTGTCTGTCTGTCTGTCTGTCTGTCTGTCTGTCTGTCTGTCTGTCTGTCTGTCTGTCCGTCCGTCCGTCCGTCCGTCCGTCCGTCCGTCCGTCCGTCCGTCCCTCCGTCCGTCCGTCCGTCCGTCCGTCCGTCCGTCCGTCCGTCCGTCCGTCCGTCCATCCGTCCGTCCGTCCGCCCTCCTGTCTATAGATATA